ACAATTAGTTTTGAATTGTTTAAACTAATCTAATTAGAGCATGATTAAATAATAAATATTAAACTGAGTTTTAGTATTAAATTAATATTTGCGTCAGATTAAAATAGTTACCTGCTTCGTCTTTTCTGTGTAATCCAACTTAAAATTGAAAATATACGCTCACAACTTGCACTATGTGGAGTAATTGCTAATATATGTAAAGCAAGTTTTTGTAAATAATGATCAGGTATTTTACAACCATACCACCAAGTTTGTGGTGATTCAACACTTTCCATAAAAGTATAATTATAAGGTGGCTCAAATGCATCATACATTTTTATTTGCGCTACAAGTATATTAGCAGTTGCTAATCCACCTCCAAGCTTTTTCCAAATTTCAAGAGCTGTACGCAAAATATCTTGAAATACTAAACTTTTCATACCCTTTCCACGATGTTTAGGATGGAGAAAGTAAGCCAAAAGATAAAATTTTATATTGAATTCTTTCCAACGCTTGTTATAAAACTGAATGCATTGCTTACGAAATTCAATACGTTCTGCTAAATCATTATTTTTAAGTGCATTAATAGCTATTGCCATTTGAATTAAAAATAAAAAAAATATCTGCAGTTGTGGTTGCTTTAGATTCTGCTATTTTAACTGCATTTTTAGCAGGAGCTAAAACCTTTGCTAATACTTCTGCATTTGCCCAAAATTGACGATCACGTGTAAGATTTTGTAATTCTAATGTCATAGCTGAATTGTCATTGTCTAAAATCTAAAATAGAATTATTATTAATTATTATCATTATTATATAAAGTTTAATACAGTATATATATTTTAAATAGATTACCTGTTTAATACAATTTTCTAAATTGAGAACTGATTGTACACAATCATATGCAGATGACCAACGTGAACAAACAGAACTTTTTAACCCCCCTTTATTTATCATAAAATTAATTATTTCATTACGCAGAATTGCACCAGATCGATGAGATGCGTGAAAATATGTAACAAATGATTGACATTGTTGTAATACTTTTTTTCCAAATGAGGTTTTGCATATTATGTCACTACAAATTAACTGAATATGGTGAGCAATACACCGAACTGGTAATATTTTAGGATATTTATCAGAAATATATTGCTTTGCTAATGACATTGCAGATGCGCCATCAGATACAACAGCACCAAATTTATCAATACCAATATCAATTAAAACCTTTTCTATTTCATCAGCTGTAAAAATTGCTGTATGAGAATTGATAGAATAATCTTTTATCGAATACACATATTGCTTTTTATTAGGAGTTATAATAATAAAAGCAAAATATGAATGTCCACGATTACTAGTCCAACTATCCAAAGCTAATAATATAATATAATAATATAAATTTATGAAATAAATAAATAAATTTATAAATAAATAGATTATACCTAATGTGAGGTTATTTTCATTTTCAAGTTCTTTCTCAATTGCAATTGTTATACGTGCTGTTTCATAATTAAGCCAATCATTACTTAAAGTTTTTCGATCAGGTGGTTTATATGGGACGCATAAATTTTGACAAAAATCCAAAAAAAATGGACTTTCAACAATCCAAAAAGGAATTCCACAGCACACTAAGAATCGGATTAAGGCTTTATTACATAATTGTTCTTGTCCAGGGTCCATTATACTGATATTTTGAAATTTGCTATCAATTCGTGGTTGTACACCACTAGCAATTTCGTGTATAATTTTTTTTTTTTTTGGTGCAGGAAAATTGCGTAAGCAATCTTGTTTAATATTAAGTGGTGCACTTTGACAAATAAGCCCCAAATGTGCATGCATATTTATATCGGATGCACGTAAGTTTTCTTCGTGACAATAATTACACTTCCAACCTTTATGCCCACTTTCTTGATGATTAATTTCAACAAAATGATCCCAAAGTGGATTTTTTGGCCGCCCTCTTTTATTTTTTTTGTTTGTTTGAACATGATCCAATTCTTCGGTTTCTACTTCTGATAAGTTTGCTACGCTAGGTTCTGAATTCTCTTCCATTATTTAGATTATAGTATAAGTTCACTTATAAAAAAAAAAAAAAAAAAAAAAAAAAAAACTACTGCTGCATTTATAAGTAAAAAAACTATTGCTACTAGAACATTACAAATTGGTATCTATAGTTATATTTAGATATTTAATCGATTCGATATTTAATCGATTCATTATCTATCAAAACCAGTTTTTAAAAACAAGATTTATATCAATTTATAGTTTGCAAAAAAAAAATAAATAACGAGATAACGATAAAATACCTGATATATTGAACTTGTAGTTATCGTTATTTTGAATTACTTTAATGATCTCAAATATAGTTTGATTCCGGAAGATAACTAAAAATATTTTTTTTCAATTTTAGCTGGCTTCTCTTTATTGTTATTATCATAATCGAATTATTCATATCAATGTATAGTAAGTATTCAATTGTACTTAACGTTAATTGTAATATAACTTTAAATTTGCTTTTGCATTAAACGATCATAAAACTTGTTTAAGCTCTACGTATAATTCTTACCCTATAAAAAAAGTCGATCCGTGTTTTATATTCCATAAATGTTGCATATTCACGGAATTTATAACTTTAAATCATGGAGATTACTCGGCTTGTCCATTATTTCTCAATATTTTTCCTGAAAACTCCGTGAATTTGTAACATGATCGACAAAATCTAGACAAGCTGATGTAACGAATTTAATTTTATAATCTTACCCTTTTTGGTGTAATCGATTATTTAACTAAATTAGTATCGTGATTGTTAAAGCCTTCGAAGGAGGCAGTGTGCATATTGACATGAGGCTAACACGATAGCGTGGTGCCTTTGATGTCATAAAGTAGGTTCCAGAATGTATTCTCTTTCATATTAATCCAATTGTATAAAAGTGAAGCATTTATTTTAATAAACGAAGGAACCTCTTTCTCATAATAAAGCAACTGGACATAATGATATTCTCTCCTTAATTTCGCACCATCATTAAGTCGCCCTAACAGAATTACTATGCCCTATAGAAGTCTTTTATTATTCAATCCACATAACTTCTAGTAGCGGTTGGAGCTACACTGCGCATTTATTGTGCATCGCTCTCCCAACCAACCGTTACACTGAATAATCTCAACATTTATGGAAAAAACAAAACACGGATCGACTTTTTTTATAGGGTTATATTTGTAAATAGTGTTACAATTCATAAAAAGATAAGCGAACATCAACACCAAATTTGATTATTAACACGTAAGTCATGAGAAAACCTTATTAGTTACGTAGTATGTATTCAAGTTTAATACTTGTTAGGTAATACTGTAATTTATTATTGCAAGAACGATTAAAATTAATCGTTAATTGATCAAGAACCAATTAAAATTAAGAACAAATTCAAGAACAAATTAACTTGATCAAGAATTAAAATTGATCGTTAATTTTTAATTAAACATGTTTTATCAAAACTTGAATATGATTTTTATAGCAAAAGGGATCTTTATAATCAAAGGCTTTAAATATGTAATTAATTAAAGCTAGAATTAAAGTTTGAAAATCATTACTTACTTGTTATGTACTGTACGCAAATACAGTACAGTACATATTAAGTTTAATTTTATACGTAATAAATACATTGATCTTAATAACATATATCTTTTAAATATAATAATACCGGCTGTATATAATAATATCGACTGTATATAATAATATCGGCAGCCAGTAATAATATAGGCAGCCATAATAATAATGACAGTCTATAATAATATCGGCAGCCAGTAATAATATAGGCAGCCATAATAATAATGACAGTCTATAATAATATAGGCAATCAAAAAAATTTTCGGCACATGACATTTTGAAACATCATGGCGAAAATACCCAAAAAATTTCGCCAGACCGTCTGTCGAAAATCATCCCTAATTTCGACCCCCATGTATAATTGTAGGCGTGTAATAGAGATTATCTTTCTCTTCGCTATCGCTCGCCTTGTAGAAAGGCTGGCTCGATCGTTCCCTCCCTTGAGTAATGAGCAGAAAACTAGCACGGTTGATCCGTTGCTGGGTTCTTGTAAGTCAGGTGATAACATAAGCAATAATAGGCCCCACGGCTGCAAAGAGCAGTGCAAGGACCTTGATATGTGTGAGTAGGCTCCGCGGTCGCAGTAGCAGTGCAAGGACCTTATAAGAATGGGTGAGGCTCCGCGGCTGTAGTAGCAGTGCAAGGACCTTATAGTATAATCGGCTCCGCGGCTGCGCTGGCAGTGTAAGGACCGTAAGGGATTTTAGATAGGCTCCGCGGCTGCAGAGGCAGTGCAAGGACCTTATAAGAGTGTGTGAGGCTCCGCGGCTGCAGTAGCAGTGCAAGGACCTTATAGTATAATTGGCTCCACGGCTGCAGTGGCAGTGAAAGGACCGTAATGTATAGTAGATAGGCTCCGCGGCTGCAATGGCAGTGCAAGGACCTTATGAAAAGTGTGAGGCTCCACGGTTGCAGTAGTGGTGCAGGGTCCACCTTAAGATAAGTATACAACCGATCCTCTTTCTAGCTATGCGATCTTCTTGAGATCTTTTCCTTACGAAGAAATTATTGGTTTATTAGAGCTGCTCAGTTGCCCGCGTTTTGTCTAGACGGTTGAAGGTTAAGTCTAGTAATGCGGTTCAGAAGTTTGAAGGGAGCTTGAGCACATGGGGAACGGATCGGGTAGTTTAATATTAGCAATGTTTAGTAGGAAGTTGGTACAAAATGTAGAAATATGTATTGAGCCTGTAAATCATAGCGAACATATTCCCATATGTTCTTCAATAAAGTTATCTGATCGAGCAATAATAATTAAATTTCATTAAGCTAAGCAATTTTGATGCTTTAAGTTAAAGTTCTCAAGAATATGTTTTACGTGCACTGAAAATTTTATAATTTATGAACCTTTTATTAATACGTTTTTATGTTATGCATTTGCGTAAAACCTGAAAACGTATTAATAGAAAGTTAGTAAAAAATTATAAAATTTTCAGAGTACAGTTCATGTTGCATCTAAAGTAGCTACTTTAGAGATATAAAGTAGCGCCTGACTAAAATTAAGCCCCTGAAATTAGATCTTCATGCATGCATTAAATCTTAATTCTAGTCAGAGGCTACTTTAGATACTTTAGATGCGACATACATACTACGTATATATTTATGTATATATATATAGTAATAAAACGGTGGCGTTTTATAGACTGGAGCCTTATGTATTTAATATTTACAACAATTTTTATGAAATTAAAAAGAAATTCTTAAATGCATTTTAAACATTAAATAGCCAAAGAAATACCAATTATTTTATCTTATGTAAGATCACGCCTATATAAAACATTGTTCATACCTGGACAAAATTTTTGCTACTTTTAGTCTGTCAGAACCTTAGGCAGATCAATAACGTTACAAATAATGTTACATATAGAAAGGTTAATGAGATTATTCTTTTTGATGAAATACTGAAAATCAAAAACATAGCGAAAGTTCAGATTTCTGTTATTAACACTGTATTACATTTAATATTTATAACGCTAAATAAAAAAACAATAAAATATTACATGCCTCTTATTGATCTATATCTAATTTGGGTGCATCACTTACATTCACGAAATAAATTAACCAATTATGTGAATGTCTATCAGGTAAAAGTTTATACCCATAGCTGTCGATCATTCCCGTCGGGTAACCTGGCTAGCACGTTTTTTTTCTTTTAACCATTTTTTAGGAGGGATTTACTAATTAATTTTTTCAAGAAATGAAAATCATCAGCGATTCAAACTATTGTAAGGCAGTGTATAAAATTTCAAAAATATGTAAATCTTGGGTATAATACAAATATAATGTATGTGAATAATTTTAAATATGTACACTAATTTTATAGTTTAATCAAATTTTTATATAGATTTGAAAATATGCATTTGTAGAATTAAGGCAATTAAGCAGATATAATGGAAAGATGGGTTGAGTGGTGGAAAGATGGTTAGACATTAAATTTGGGGTGCAGTAATATATCATAATTTAATTCAGAACATATTTCACAATTACTAGAATAACTTTGGCTCATATTTATGTGTAGCATAAAGTCAAATTAAATTGACTCACTGCCAGTAGTCAAACTTTTTCAAATTTTGGGGTAGTTTACTAATGCGCCATAATGTACGTACTTGATGTGCACATATTTGGTATTTATTGATAATTTGGTGCATTATTTAGCCCAAAAGTTTGTTAAAATGCGTGAATTTTTTTTTAAAAAAGTGCATTGAGCACATTGTACACGGAGATTCTATACATTGGTAAAGAAAAATTGGTGTTAAAACTACGAACTTAAATTCTATATACTATAAAAATAAATATTTATTTATCCGAATTTTATATTAGAGGTTTAAATTTTGTTTCTTATTATTCCTTTTATCTGTTGTAGATATAGTAGAAATAAAAATATGAAATACAATAATAAATTAAATTAAGAAATGCGACAAATCACAATTTATAATCAGATCAATATGATTATGTTAAATCTGAAATGACGAAAGGTTATGTGGCTGTGCTTTTGATTTGCGGTAACGCTGGATTTGCTCATATTTTCCTCCAATTTTTGATCAGTTTGTTTTTTTTTTGCGAGAAGTTCCACAGGGGGTAGCTTAGGTTTTAACATAATTGCGGAGGCGGAAGCCGGACATCCATAAGATTCCCATGTGTACGCCTATAAGGTCTTCACTCCGCTCCAGCCCAAAAATAGACTCTTGCGAACAATTTTATTTAGAGTGTCAATATTGTCTAACTTAATAAAATGTTGGCTTTAATATGTAACAACGATTATCGTTTAACAAAAAATTTTTTACAAAAAATAATTAAAATTTAAACTTGATTTTGATTGGATCAAAGTCATGTGCCGTGCATTTAGAGAAATCGTTTGGGATCAAAATATCTTATGCACGTGCAGAACATTGAGGGTGTGCACTTAGTATTATGGTCCAACCATAGGACCAGACCTAAGTGTGCATATATA